GCCCCGCCCCTCAGAGCACACCCTCTCCTCCCACCGCCCTGCAGCGCACCAGCCACCGAGAGCGAGCAAGCGCCTCCAGCAGACCACACACACGGCTTCCTCAATGGGCTGGGCAAGCGCACTCCAGCTCCTTGTGGCCAGCACACGGGGCCAACCAGCGGCCAAACGTTTACAACTAACGCGGGAGCTTCTTGTAGCAGGAATCTGGGACAGATTGACAGACTTATGTAGGCACAATGGTCTTCAGGTTGCTTTCCTACTCTGCCACGGGTGTTTTGGATGCCCTGGAGGGAGTCATATAGCTTCCCCGTGCCTTAGTTTCCTATCTATACAATGGGTATAACATCCCTGGCTGTTGTGAAAATAAATACATTGAAAAAGTTCGAGATGTTTTAAGAATGACTGATGAAAAGTCACGATGTAAGAGCTAGGGATTTACTAATTACTATCATATTTATTACAAAGTTGCACACGGGCCCCTAATGGGATTTAAATTGCTGAGGAGGGATTTAAATTGATCTCACCAGTTGTCTACTGGCATCCTTAAGTGTCTAACTCCCCTTTCTAAATCCGTCCCTTAAAGCTTCTTCTTGTACAAATAATCATTTATGGAAAAGTCAGATCACATGGGGTGAGCGTTAAAACCATTACTCAGCTATTTGTGGTTTGAAACCACATGACTTCGATGTGACAAAAGGAAACTGAAGTAACAGAACTAAACCTTGTTTCTTCAGCATCTGATAAGCGTCCCGGATTTTAACTTCCTGAGGAAACCAAACAGTCCAACTGAACATTATTTCTATGATTCTTGATTTGACTTTTTCTGCAGACCAGGTTCCAAAGTACTGAAAACAAAAAAGTAAATAATTATAACCAGCAAGTTTCTGTCAGATAGGTGTCTGCCCAGAGTGCTTATGCGCAGAGACTGGGGTGCAAATGGGTTTCCAATTCGTTCTTCAGAGTTGTGTCAACTGTACTCCTCACAGAAGGTAACATTCCGCATACAATTACATGCTATACATATAAGGGCTGTATTATTAAATATGTAGAATTTTATAAAAATAATCCCTCAGTACAAAAATGATGGCACATTCAGTGCTGCTTTGATCAGATTTTACCAAATGCAGGCTCAATATAAAGTATTATTTTTAGTTTGTTTTTAATTATGCTGAAAGTAGTTTCCTGCTTGGATGTAAACATCCCCCTTCAGCACTACAACCTAGAGAGAGCAGCCCTGCCCTGGGCCAGAGCCAGAGCGAAACAGACTGAAAACTGACCCTAAACAAGAGTGAAACTGAGAGGCCTGTTTTCAGTGCTCACATTTTATCTTTCTAGACACTGCTGGGTCCCCATTCCCACAGTATCCGAACACCTAGTAAGTTCAATAAAATGTTAAACCAACCTGGAGAAACGGTGACAAGTAAATGTGAATTTTAAAATTCTTTGTTTTAATAAACTCAGACATTATTATGAGCTCACAGACAGAGACCTGGTGTTTAAGACAGGAGGCTCGATTCTTCGTGACTTTGCCCCAGCTTGGTTTTCCTAACTCCAAGCTCAACAGAAGCATTTGCTTTAACCTATTTGTTGTTTAACTACAATGAAACCTGGCTGACAGACCCTGTAACTGTTAAATTACTGCGCTAAGGACAAGGTCCAGATCTGACTGTCTGATCCAAAGGTGGGGAGCATGCACAGCAAGTGATGTAAACTGCTCTCCATTTCCCCACTGTTACAGGAGGTGTCTGTGAACTGGAGAGCTTTATTTGCTCTGTACAGCAAGCATTTCAAACTCAAATCCATATTCCTATCAGCTACTTTCCAAAGAGACAGGGAGATGACACCCAGAAAGCCAAGTGTGGGAGAAGAAGGTGGTCTGCTGGGCACTGTTCCAGCTAAATGTTTCCATCCATGTGCGGAATAAATATTGTTATATGCACCAAGGCATGTGTGGATGTGCACAACTAGAAACACATGATGCTGACTGTGAGGGATAGTGCTACTGACTGTGGTAGGGGGAAAAAGAGATAGAGAATAAGACAGAAAATATCTTAATGCCTCTATATAAAACCACAGTACACCCACATCTTGAATCCTGCGTACGAAAGTGGTCATCTCAAAAAAGATATATTGCCATTGGAAAAGGATCAGAAAAGGGCAAAAAAAATTATTAGGAGTTTGAACGGGTCCCATATGAAGAAAGACTAAAGACTTGTACTTTTCAGCTTAGAAAAGAGGAGACTAAGGGGGGATATGATAGAGGTCTATAAAATCATGACTGCTGTGGAAAAAGTGAATAAGGAAAAGTTATTCCCACAATATAAGAAATGAAATTAATAGGCAGCAGGTTTAAAACAAATAAAAGGAAGTTCTTCTTCACTCAGCACACAGTCAACCTGTGGAACTCCTTGCCAGAGGATGCAGTGAAACCTAACAGGGTTCAAAAAAGAGCTAGATAGATTCATGGAGGTTAGGTCCATCAATGGCTATTAGCCAGGATGGGTAGGAATGGTGTCCCTAGCCTCTGTTTGTCTGCATGTGGGTGACGGGGAGGGGTCATGTGAAGATTACCTGTTGTGATCTCTCCCTCTGGGGCACCTGGTATTGGCCACTGTCAGCAGACAGGCTACTGGGCTAGGTGGACCTTTGGTCTGACCCAGTTTGGCCATTCTGATGTTCTTACCTTTGGAGACAGCACTTTGATCAGCTCGTTCAGAAATCTGAATTTTGCCACTTCGCTGTGAAACCTTTCCCCACAGTTATTCACACATGTCTCCAGCACCTGGGTGGAGAAGGAAGCAGGAGACATAAAACAAATTCACCAGGCAACTGGGAAACCCCTTCCATCTAGACCAAGTTCTAGGCAGCTGTGAGCGGCACAGACACAGAGACAGGGGAGTCCCTGGGAGACATGGGCCATTGGCACTCATCATTCGCTTTCACCCATGTAAAACAAACAGGCAAGAGCCGGCAGCGCTTCCTGGGTACAAACACAGGCAGGGACGACGGCGAAGGCATTTCCTGTCATAGCCATCACGCACAACAGTTGGGCCGTAATCTCCAGCAGCCGAGTGGCACAGGGAGCTGATGTCCAATGGCGTCTCACCTCCAGGAGCCAGGCTCCAAATCTGCGCGTGGCCACAGGGAGGAGAGGAAGGCAGAGGCCTCAGCCTGGTCCCTGTCGGACATTTGTTTACACAGAAAGAGCAGAAGACATTTTGGCAGAACCAGCAACCCCTGCCCGTCAGGTGCCTGGGGAGGGAACCGCAAGGAGAGCGGTGGGTCCGGAGGGAGGAGCCAGGCCAGATTAGACAGTAATTAGGGACATTAATATTTGCTATGAAGGGGATTACTGAGGACTACGGAATCGCTGGGAACCTCACAGCCACGAATGCACAAGGAACCCTGGTGATGATGATAAGAGAGAGGAACAGGGCTACCGTTTTGGACACACCGTGGAAGTTTAAAGGGGAGAGACACCCGTGTGTTTTAGAAGAGGCCGATACAGAAATCTACCCCAGGAAGTAATTCCCACGTCCTCCCCCTCTCCCCCGAGTCTGCACTCACTGTTAAGGCGTGAAGAGCTTCCATCTCCTGAGGCGACTGTATCTTGTGCGCTAGCAGCCGGGGGGCAAGGGACGGGCTGGGGGGAAGATGCAGGCAGGAAGTCTCAGGGAAACCAAACATTGCTACTTTCCAGCAAAGAGAAGGGCAGTTCCCACGTTCCCAGCCACATCCCATCCCAGCAGCCCCACCCCGCACAAGGCTGGGGCCATACCCAAGAAGTGAGGAAAGGGCTAAGGCAGGAATGGAAGCCAGAAGCGTCCCGCAAAAGCTGATGCCAGCTGCCCCGAGGGCTGGCCCCGGGAGTGGAAAACGGGATGGGGAAGGAGGGTCTGCACAGAAGCATTGGGCCAAGAGGATCACTGAGCAGTTAGCAGAAGGGCTCAGCTTTGCTGCTCATCACAGCTGGCCCCTTGGTCCAGTGTCCCAGGGGAGGGAGGTTCATGAGGCAGAACGGGCCAGTCCTGCAGACAGAAACTGCAGCATCTGCTGAGCAGAAATGCTAGCGCAGGGACCCCAGCCGGCCCTTGCACTTACCAGCGTGAGCCCACGGGCAGCAGGGCTGGGGAAAGCCCTGGTGGAGACCTCACTCCCCCGCCCCCCCCCGAAATCAGCAATAACTAAGGATGCTCAGGTCTTCTCTGCAACTCAGCCCAGAACTCAGCAGCCCACTCGGAGCACAGGGATTGGGTGGGAGCTGAGAGGGGGCAGGGCCAGTCTCATGCGAGACGAAAAGCCCTTCCCTCTCGGTCTGCCAGAGATCACCACAGTCACAACACCCTGGCCACTCTCGCTCCCCACTCCGCGCACAGGCAGCTCCGCGAGCCCCAGTCCCTAGCAGGCGCCCAGGGCTTTCCAAAACGGCAGGTGCAGATTCTCCTTCCCGTCCGAGGACAGAGCAGCTCCGGGCCAGGCGCGCAGGCAGAGAGCGCAAAGAGCCCTCCTGTCCAGCTTACCCTTCCGGGTCTGCATTCACCTCGGCACAGAACTGCCGGATACACTCCCAGTTTTCTTCAGCGCTGGGGTCAGTGGCTTTATCTTACCGGGAAGAAAAGACCATTTCAGAGAGCTGCCTGCAAGGGACCGGCTGCTGGCTCCCTTCTCCCCCTGAAACCCCTCCAGGCTCCACGCTCGCGCCCGGCGCGGCCACCAGACCGTTATCAATGGGCGGCGCTGCTAGTTAACGCTAAGGCAGTGTCCAAACTACATTCCTCTTCCGAAAGAGGAATGTAAATGAGCCCAATCGAAAATGCAAATGAAGCGTGAATTTACAAATCTCGCACTTCATTTGCATAATCACGCAAAAGTGCTTTTTTAAAAAAAACGCAGTCTAAACGGGGTTCTTTCGAAAAAAATCCCTTTTTTGAAAGAACCCTATTCCTCATTTTTTCAGGAGTACAGGTTCTTTTGAAAGAGGGGTTTTTTTTTCGAAAACTGCAGTTTCTTTTTCAAAAAATCCTTTTTCGAAAAAGCGCTTGCATGCGATTATGCAAATGAAGCACGAGATTTGTAAATCCGCACTTCATTTGCATTTTCTATTGGGCTCCTTTACATCCCTCTTTTGGAAGAGGAATGTAGTTTAGACGTGCCCTAAGTGATTTCGCAATACTATTGCTGTGTACACTGTACCCTCTATGGCTTAAAATGACCAAACAAAGCACATTGTCCTGCAATCCAGCAGCAGGCCAGGGAGCCAGGTGTGTGCAGAAGGGCCTTAGCTCAAGGCTGCATTTTACAACCTGGAACTCGGCGAGACAGGCCAGACAGGCAGGCCAGCACAGCGACCCGACCGTGGGTAATGCCGTTATGACCACACTTTGGCCAGTAATTGCATGAAGGAAACTTACACCCAGAGGTCTCGGCCGGGCAGAAGTTGCAAATCCAGCCCTGTCCCCCGCAAGGTCTGACAGGTGTCAGGGAAACAGAGGCAGCGTTGAAAGCTGGCCCCCAAGCACCGGGTGGAATTTAAAAGCAAATAGCTGACACGGCCGTGACTGTCCTGAGCCGGGCAGGGCAGCACTTTGTGCCTCTTCTAAGCTGCCCCAAAGCCCCAAACTGTCACATCGCCAGCCCCCTACTCCCCTGCGGGGCTCGCGTTTCACTCTGACCGCAGCGCGGGAAGTTCTGGGCAGCTCCGAGGAGCCTTCCCCTTGCCGCGCTGTTCCCGACACCCCGAACTGACAGCCCCGCCGACGTGCGACTTCCTCTTCCCACTGAGCATCCTGCTCACACGCCAGTGGGGACCGTCCAGGGAGCGCTGCGCTCAGGGCCAAGCAACCGGCCGTGCGCCCTGGTGCAGCGCGTCTGGCGAAGGGGAGAGCGCTCCCGTCGGCGTAAAGGAGCCTTCCCCTTGCCGCGCTGTTCCCGACACCCCGAACTGACAGCCCCGCCGACGTGCGACTTCCTCTTCCCACTGAGCATCCTGCTCACACGCCAGTGGGGACCGTCCAGGGAGCGCTGCGCTCAGGGCCAAGCAACCGGCCGTGCGCCCTGGTGCAGCGCGTCTGGCGAAGGGGAGAGCGCTCCCGTCGGCGTAACTATTCCACCGTCGCAAGGGGGGAGCGTGTCCCCGGCCGCGGTAACGTGCGGTGCTGGGTCTCACA